AAAATTAATCGTGAACAATTGGTCACCAAAAACTTGACTAAGGGGAATTCCAGCGTTCTCCTCTGATAGTTACAGCTCTTAAAAAAACAAGGAAACCAAAGAAGTGATATATGAGGAGCCATCCCCTAGACAAATTACTAACATTGGGTCGAGAAGGGTCTGTTTCAAGGAGAGATAGTAACTTAGATCTGCCTGCATTATACATAGGGCAATATAAAAGGACATATTCCACAGTTTCAACCTCAGCTCTGTCACAGGGGCATAGCCGCTCATTAATCGGGAGCCTCTTAAATCACCCATCCAGTAGTGCTGAGGGCAGAACATTAAAGCGAGCTAGGGAGAAAGCTCTTCTATACTTGGGAATGGTTCGAGTGTAAAAATAGGAAAGCCATCCTCAGTCCGTAATTATTAAATTGGCTGAAGATCAGAGGGGAGCAAGTTTTGTTAGCTCTGGCTCGTAGATATTGCAAGTCAATGTGCACAAGCCGTTGGACTACCCTAAATTGGGCATCCTTAAGGCCATAATCTCCCAGGGCATCCCCCGTAAAACCTAGCAGGTGTAATTTCTTCATCAGCTCCCTCTCCCAACAAGAAATATGAGAGTCAGCAAACGCCAGGGAGAAAGGTATCTACCAGGAACTGCCAGAAAGAGCACCCGAAACCACCATTTAAAGGTGTTAATAACACGCCATACATTCGACTGATCGAGTGCCCAGTTCCAGGTACATCGGAGCAAAACCAACACAAGGAGGAAGACCCAGAAGTTTTCTAAAAAAGACAGCTTGGGTTCTTTCAATACAATCCTTGAAGCCCATATCCATATGGGAATTCTGTAAAGAGTTTGAGCCAAAGTTTTGGCTTTGTAAATACGCAGAGCAGAAGGAATAAATTGGCCTCCTTGGGTATAAAAAGATCTTAAAATCTGCTGGTGACTACAGGAGGCCGAGTTCAGCACTTGGGTTCGATGTCTAGTCCAAGCACCGGTGTTCTGAAATTGAATACCTAAATACTTAAAATGGAAAACCTGCTTAACAGCATTACCATTGATAGCCCAGTTATACAACTTCCGGGCTCTAGAGAACACCAATACTTTGGATTTGTCGTAATTAATAGACAAGTGGTTCTAAGCACAGTAGGACCCGAACGCAGAAAGTAATCTTTTCAGACCTGGCTTTGACAATGAAAGGAGGGCCGCATCGTCAGCATAAAGGAGAAGCGGGGTCTTCGTAGTTGACAACTTTGGGGCATGGGACTCAATACGTCCAATGTGAAAGGCCAAGTCAGATAAGAATAAATTAAACAAAAGAAGAGCCAGCCTGCCATACTCCATTCTTAATCGGGATAGGATTTGAAAGTTCTCCCTGAAGACCACACCTGACCTGACTAGAGGTCTGGTTGTACAAGGATCTATTTAGGAACAGAAGACGTCTATTGATAGAACTTTTGATCAGTTTTGACCACAACAGTCCCCTAGGGACTGAGTCAAACGCTGACTTTAGGTCGATAAAAGCAGTAAAACATTTCCCACCTGGTATGGTAGTATATTTATTGGCCAGGTGCGCTAAGACAAAGCAGTGGTCCAGTGTGGCACAGCCCGTTTTAAGCCCAATCTATTCAGCACCAATAGTATTGGACTCCTAAACCCAGGTGAGGGGTCTACGTTGGAGATATTTAGCATACAGTTTCCCAATGATGGAGAGCGGGTTTATGGGGCGATAGTTGGCTGGATTGTTCCTATTTCCTTGTTTAAAAACTGGAACAATAATTGCTAAGCTCCAGGAGGTAGGGATCCTGCCAGAGGTATTGATATGCATGATGAGTCTTGCTAAGAGAGGAATCCACCACTCAGGATTGGATTTTAGCAGATCAGGGCCAGGGGCTTTGCCTGACTTGAGTTCAGAGATAAGCTCGTTAATCTCAGCATCAGTCATGGGTTGTCAGTCAGGAACTGTAGGAGGTAGCTGTGGCCCAAGCACGGTCGAACTTGTTGATGTTTGGAAAATTGCCAAGAAATGGTTTTCCCAATCTCTGTTGGAAATACAGCAGAGAGGGAGTTCTTGATGACCCAGCAAGGAGCTGGCAACAATTTGCCGAAATAATCGAGTGTTCTTCTGCTGGATGGAGAGGAGAAGTAGATCCCACTTCTCTCTCTATTTAGCTTTCTTTTTCTTAGCAATTAGTCCTTTATTCTCCCGCTTCAAGCGATAGTAGCCCTCTGGTGGGCATTTATCCCCTCGATTACGATAGAGCAGGTAAACCCAATTAATCTGGTTCCTGAGCATCAGACACTCTTTGTCAAACCAAGAATTATTTCTTGAATGATATGGACCACTCGGCCTACGGACGGCTCCTAGCTCTCTTTGAACACTTTTAATTAGTGATTCAAAGGCCGAGATTGTCTCTGGGCCACTACTTGTTAGGGCCTGATTGTATAGGCTGAGACACGCCGGAGATGATAAAAAGGAGTGGAACTTTCTTTCAGTATTAGAAGACCATTTGATCCTCCTTGTATACGAGGCCACATAGGGATCTAATCACACTGCAAAAATTTCAAAAATATAAAGGGTTTAAAAATAAATAAAAATTTGAAGACTAAGATGTGATAGAAAAATAGCCTTAAAAGCAGGTAATAATTAGAGTAGGCTAATTTAATCTTAGTTAAGCAGAGAGCCTACTTGCCTGCTGCTCTCCAGGAAAGCCAATTACAGACCAACATACAGGGATAACATATATACTCAAGGGCCAGAAAGGGGCTATGGTAATTACCATCATATTCATGCATACCATGGTTCAAGAGACAGGCCAAATGGGATATATTGGCAATCAGTATCCTTATACTTGAATGTCAAGAACTGTGCTTGGTGGGTGAACCAGAATGCAAAAATTGGCTCAAACATTAACTCCTCTAAGTATAGTCAGTGAGACTAACATCCTTCTTCTCGATATGTTTCACAATGGATCTCATAGTTTCCATCCGGAACTTAAATGTTCATCTGCTTCTGATCAAAGATGCTTACCTATCTTTGTTTTTCTCAGGAAGAATGAATACAGAGCCCGAAAACTTTTCATGTTGTGTGATCATCCACATATTAAGGAAGCAATTTATGACCTTCAACAATATTTGATATTTGGTTAGCTAGGGATGAAATGAACTTATCTTGGAGGAGCCATACATCTGATGTAGTCCTATGAATCATGCATTCGACAGTTGGGTCCATAGGTTGTTATATGGGTCAGACTAAAGGTTCTTATTGTTGTGGTTCGCCGGCAACCTGTGCAGACGGCAGCAGAACCGGACAGTGGGGAAGAACAGGGACCAGTCTGGGAGTCTGGGGAAGATTCAGACTAGGGTCTTGCGTCTGATACAGAGATGGGGCCAGGACCATCGGATAGTTATGTGCTGATTCCGGGGCCTCCAGAATCTAGCAGCAGCGAGGCAGAGGAACAAGGGGAGCCTGTTCCCAGTGCGCGTATGTGCAGAGCTGCCAGAAGGCAAGAGCAGCTAAGACAAAAGGGGCAACTCAGGAGTAAGACTTGGAGGTGATTGCCCCTCCCATAAGGTATAAAGGAAGTGCAAAGGTAGGGAAAACCTTTGCAAGAAGCAACGTAGTTCCCTCTGATCGGTTTGGACTCTGAAAGCTCCATGGTGAATTTGTGCTCTGTTTGGTTTTGGAAAGTCTAATTGGGATTTTAGTTGTTGGCAGCTAAATTAGGATTTTAGTTGTGTTCTTATCAGATGTCTCCTGAAGAATTTTGGCAGACATCCTTGAAACTATTTATAACTGGTTAAGACTCATTCTGGGCTGTGAATGACGATAATTCACATCCATTGAGCTAAAATAAAAGAGTTTTGGATTTTATGAGTGTTTGTTGGTGTCTTAGGAAGTCTTGGTCAGAACACTTATTAATGCTTTGGGAAACATGAAATTCTTCTACATATGTCTTGAATCATATGTTATCTAAGTCTCCCTCTTTGCCTGACAGTTTCCTGAATGGTGGAATCAAGTTTGTTCTCTACAGTAAGCCCTGGGGAGAGGAAATTCAGGAAGAGTATGAAGGCCTGTCACTTCCCTACAAGGAAAGCACAAAACAGCATTATCTGTCCACTAGGATGGATAAGGGGTACAGCAGTTTTGCCTGGAAAGCTGTGATACAGTTGAAAAAACCATAGTTATCCCTGGGGCTTCTTGAAACATAGGATAGAGTAGGGATTCTATGGCATAGTTCCCAGAGGAGTTAATCAAGAAGATTCACTTGATGAAGGGCAAAAAAAAGGATTGGGCATCTGGTTCTCTCAAGCTTCTCTTCAGTGCTCACAGTATTCACATTCCCAGAGAATTGGAAACATTCCTGCTTGCAGATGGCGTGCAGGTGGACATTGTGTTACTTGCATTTCTCTAGAGAAATCATGGTGGAGAATTAAAGGTACAATGCCAGACTTCTAGGGTTTAGTCTACTCATTTTGTCTCAAGACATTAGCAACAACCTCTGAAACATCTATAGACAAACAATGCTAGCTGGGCGGGTCTATTAAGGACTGGCTACAAGTGAAAATAAAAAAAGAAAGAAAGGGTGGGAGGGATTTGTGTTTACTATAACTTGGTTTGGCCAAATTGGAAAGCAACTATGTTATTTAGAGCAATACAAGGCCAGAATACAGAAAGGGGCAATAGAAGCAGAAATAGAATTTTAATTCAGGCTCAGAAGCACCCATTACAATTGGAAGATATACTAAAAATAATTGCTTACTAAAATACATCTCCAGAAATTGATGCTCATAGGCATATGCAAACAAATCAACATATATACATGTTGGTTATTCATAGCTCAAGTATCTTGGAATACAAGCAAATATTTTTCACTGAACTTCCAAATTAGTAAATTTGAATATTCCTAATATAATCATCATACATACATACAAATATTTGGCATTAAAAACAAGGTACCTATTTCTACATATGTTAACAGTTTGTAGTTTTTTTAACAACTAAAATAGGTACCTGCAACTGCTGTCCGTCAAGCTGGGAAACAAGGAAGTTAATCTGTTGGGATGGAGGTGGTGGTGGTGGAGGAGGAGGCGGTCCCTGAGACACACTGGATGAAGCTGCTACCTGGACAAGAGGCAGTCCTGAATGAAGATGCATGGGCACTGGTGGAGGAAGGTTAAATGGATTGTGTTGAATGTTCATAATAGGAGTAGGAACCGCCATTGTATATGGGAAGATACTCATTGGCTGATGCTGTGTATTTACTGATGTCATTACATTCATCTGAGGTTGCAACACAGTTACTGGTAGCTGAGAAGTATCACTCTGTTGGCTGGTTTGGTCTTTGAAGTTTGGATCTATCAGAGAAGAACAGACATTTTTAAAAAGTATGTATAAAAAAACATTATCCCTCCCTCCCAAAAAGGAAAGCAGTGTCCATGAACAGAAGAGAATCTTATACCAGATCTGTCTCTTTCACTCACACTCTGCACATACTATTAAAATTAGTCTCAATATATCAAGTGCTTTAGCATGTTAAAATGAAATAATATTTATCATGGAGATTCCACACCAAACCACTTATAGGTAGTCCTCACTTAATAACCTTAACTTTAATATTCTATCACTATGCAATGCAATTATTAAGTGAAACATCGCATGATCATGAAGCTTATATCAGTCCATTGTGATAATTAAGTGCATCACCCGTGACTATTACGTACAACATCACATGACCATGACTTTGATTTTACTGCTACTTTCTCCATTGCCTTGGCTTTTTGGAAGTGGGCTTTGAAGCTTGCAAATGTTGATTACATGACCACGGTGTTGCTATAAAGGTCATAACTTCAAGGACTGGTTGTACAGGTACTTTTTCAGCACTTTTGTAAGTCTGAAGGATTGCTAAACAGAGCAGTCATTACCCAACGTATTAAGTGTTAACCTGCAAAATGATCTCAGCTGAAGCCTTTCTTTTTCATGTTTACTCCTCTTTCGTTACTTGGTTGACATTCATGGAGGTGGGGGGAGGTATGGGGAACTTAGGAATGTGGTGCCTCAGCTGCAGTCAAAACATCTACCACTCAGCATGTGAACTAAGGCCATGCCAACGGACATCTGTCGAAGCTGAGTAGGAAGTTGTAACTGACTTGATTGGCCCATGTGATCTAAATAGACACATGAGGGTGGGAAATCCTATTCTTTTAACTAAATCTGAGCGCGGGAACTATTTAGAGCTAGCTTCATCCTTCTAAGTGCCGAGATGATGTACTTAATAAAGGGTTTCTTGAACCTACACACCGTGTTAAGAGTCCTGACTTCCCTGCGTTCATTACTCGGGATGATAACATTAAGCTTCTATCAATAATTCAGACCCATTTTGTTTTGCTTGGGACAAATCCAGGATCTGTTAGAATCAGTCTGATTTATTTAAGATTCATTTAAGTTTTATGTATATACGTAGGTTTATAATACATAAGGTTATCAAATTTTTTAAAGTTGGTATTTGAATATACATATTGAAACTCTAAGAATCAAAACTAGTTTGGGGCAGGTGAGGCAGCTTAAAGACTCTACTGGAATTTAAGTATCTTAGGGACTTAACAGTTCTGTTGCATCATAAAAGGAAATTAAATAAACAAAAGCCACCTTTCCACCAAACATCAACAGTATACTACATGCACAATTATTAGGCAAGTATTTTGACCATATTACCATTTTATACATATTTTCTACCTCCAAGCTGTACAAACTTGTGGATGTAAGCATATCAGGTTTCAGTAGTTGTGTGAAGGAGGGTTTGCCCAAGGAGATCAACACTCTAGATCAAGATGTGCCTAATTATAAGTTTCTTTTCCTCAGGCAAAATGGCCAAAAAGAACATTGTAAAACATCTTTCAGAGGGATGCAACACTAAATATTGGGGCTTGATCACAGAAACCTGTTGATTTGTTGCAAATAATCAACAGGGTCACAAGAAACATGTTCAGAAAAAAAGACGCACATTAACTGACAAAGATTTGAGAAGAATCAAACATGAAGCTACCAGGAACCCATTACCCTCCAGTGCTCGCCTATTCCAGAACAGCAGCCTACTTGGAGCGGCCAGAAGTACAAGGTGTTCACTACTCGGAGACATGGCCAAAGTAAGGAAGGCTGAAACCCGACCATCACTGAACAAGACATGTAAGTTGAAACGACAAGTCTGGGTCAAGACAGATTTTTCAAAGGTTTTATGGACTGATGAGAATGACTCTTGATGGACCAGACGGATGAGCCTGTGGCTGGATCAATAATGGGTAAGAGCCCCACTTCAACTCAGATGCCAGTAAAGTGAAGGTGGGGTACTGGTATTGGCTGATATTATTAAAGCTGAGCTAGTTGGATCTTTTTGGGTTGAAGATGGACTCAAAATCAACTCCCAATCCTTAAAGCCAGTTTTTAGAAGACACTTTCTTTAAACATGGTACAGGAAAAAGTCTGCATCTTTCAAGACTATGTTTTTTATGCGGGATAATGCTCCATCGCATGCATCAAGATACTCCACTGCGTAGTTAGCCAGTAAAGGCCTTAAAGATGAAAGAATAATGACATGGCTCCCTTCCTCACCTGGCCTAAACCCTATTGAGAACTTGTGGGACCTTCTTAAATGGGAGATTTACGGTGAAAGAGAACAGTACACTTCTCTGAACAGTGCCTGGGAGGCTGTGGTTGTTGCTGCACAAGAAGTTGCCAACAGATCAAGAAAGTGACAGACTCCATGAATCGAAGGCTTATGATTGTTATTGAAAAGAAGGATGGCTATATTGGTCACTGATTTTTTTTTTTGAAATGTCAGAAATGTTTATTTGCACATTTTGAGTTGTTTTATTACTATCATTTTAAGAGATGCAAATAAACGAGATGGGAAAATGTTTGTTTTTCATTTAATTGCATAATAATTCTGCACACAAATAGTTGCCCAATAATTGTGCACGGATAGATATTCTTCTAAGAAAGCCAAAATCTCACTTTTACTTTCTTAAATATTCAGGCTTGAAGTTTATTAACATTTTGGATTGACTGAGAACATGTAGTTGTTCAATACAACTTCAAAATACAACTTGCCTAATAATTGTACACACAGTATATATTTGTATACTGTTTACCAATAAGTGTTTGTAAAAATGAGACTTAGGGGCTACATGTGGATTTCCACCCAGGAGTTAAGGGGCATAGGAGAAATACTTACCTTGCTCAGATGCTGCTTCTTCTTTTGTCCATACAGACTGTGGGCTTGAAGAATTTCTACCTCTTCTTGAATAGTAATTCTGTACATCAGCTGGTAAAGTCTTTCTTACAGCCCAGCTTGATGCAGATGTCCACCCAGATCTATCAGCAGGTGTATCAAAAGTGAAATCTTGTTCTGCTTTACGTTTGTATGGGTGATGTTCTGGAAATCTAGAAGTTTCATTGCCGGAACTATTTGCATTCCTTGAGTGGCCTTTCCTATTTTGCCAGCGACTTTCAGCCTGCTCTCCATATGTGAAACTACCCCTGCCACGGTTGCCTCTGCCATGGCTGCTTCTGCCACGATTTGAATTCCAACCTGATCCATAATTTGCACTCCACAAAGCCCCTGAATCATTGTGCCTATTTTCTTTCCTTTGCTGATTTTTAAAATTATCTCTTTCTCTATTCCTTGTTTCTGGAACTGAATTTATTCTTTCCATCACCCAGTCTGGATAATCCTTTCTGTACTGATCAGAAGAACTCTGTGTATCTGCATCTTTGTTTACACTATCTCTTTCACTTTTCATACACTCTGTTTGTTTCTGCTGTTCATTTCTTTTATATCTATCACTTCCTCTAGGGTCTCTCCAATTAACATCTGTCCATCTTTCCTTCCATCGAGGTGAACAGCCATCCCTCTCACTTCTAGGAAATGAAAGTCCTTTACTTCTTGGCCTAGATCTGGACCTGGACCGAGATCTTGATTGTGACTGGGACCATCTTCTCCTACTTCTCCCTCTTTCATTATCTCTTCTAAATTCATTTTTATCATTAGCTCTGTCCCTACTGGGAGACCTACATTTGTGCCGTGGAGGCGATTCCTTAGCTCGCATCTGTGAAGATCTTATTCCATCTTTGATAGAATCTTTTTTTGGAGAGCTGGTTGGAGAATCCCTTCCTTCTCTTAAATGATCTTTCCTGGGAGAATTCCGCAGTGACTGTTTCTCTTCTTTCAGACTATGTGTTCTGGGAGAACTGGATGGAGATGTTGCAGGATTTCTTTTAGGAGATTTGGATAAAGATCTCCAACTTTCTTTGAAAATATCCCTTTTGGGAGATCGAGATGTTCTACCTTCCCCAATTTCCCTTTTGGGGGATGGGGATTGAGATCTTTTCCCCTCTCGCTTGGATGGGGACCAAGTGGTTGATGGAGAATGAAATCGTGATCTTCTGGTTCGTGTCTTTTTATCTATGAAACTTTCTTTTGCTTCTTTCTTATCAGGATTTGAAAATGATATAGAATGCTTACTATCGTTTTGTAAGACATTTGCTTTCTGCTCTACATTGTCATTTGCTAATGGTTGGTTAAGCTGAGATGCATTCTGATTACTATTAAATGAGTCGTATTCTATAGATACTATCTCACTGTCATCTTTGTTAAAGTGTTTAATATCTTCAGTACATCTCTTGGGTGATGTATTAGTTTCAGTTTCCACTTTATCATTTTCGAAAGACAGATTAAGTTTATTATCTGAGGAAACATTTATTAATAAGTCATCATTATTTATATATTCATTGGTTATATATACATTTGATTCTTTTTTTTCAATTTCAACAACTTGCACACCTAAAGAATACAATGGTACTTCACATGAAATATTATCTAGTGGCTCCTTGACTATTTCTTCTGTGAGTTCAATTATGGGTTTCTCCAGTATTCCATCTATTGCTGAAGATTCTGGTCTTCTTAATTCATTTGTATGTGAAAACACTAGTTTATTTACTATTGGTTCAGAATCCAGTTTTCCCTGGAATTCATTTCTAGTATCAGCCAATAAATTATCTGCTCCTGGAACAGATTCTGTTCCTCCTAGCAACTCATGTCTAGAAACGGCTGAAATATCATCTACTAGTAACATGCATTCTGTTTTCCCTAATTCTTTCCCAGGACATTTTACTATTTGATGTGTTACTGCCAGAGGATTCAATTTTGCTGGCAATTCAATGGTGGGGATGCCTACTTCTGGAGACTGATGAGTAAATATAATATTATCATCACACAACTGTTCTCCAGGAATATTTAAATCCTGATCTGGCTCAACAGGATTTTTACAATACAGCTTGTTTTCAGTTTCAGTGTCAACTTTTTCTTCACATTTTTCAGTGTTTCCCTCTAGAGTGAGCAAAGGAAGATCCTCAACACAAGAACCAGCAGCTTTTTCTAAGGCAAGCAAAGGAGGATCTTGAACACAGGAACCAGTTTCTAAGATATCCAATGTGTCTTGCCCTTCACTGTAATGTTCCTTAGGTTTCTTCTTATATGCTACATAGGAGTTTTCTACTCCATTAGAAGATTCAGTGTCAACATTTTTATGAGTAAGGTCAGAGGTGCTATTTTCACTGTCTGCTGAATTGCCTTTGTCTAATAGAAAGGTTATCTCTGTCTCATCAGCTTCATCAAAATCTATATTATTAGATGCTTTTCCGTAGGGCCCAGAACTTCTTAGTTTCTTTTTAGCCAAAGGCTCCTGCTGTTTAGCATTTCTTTTAGCTTTCCGTTTGGAAGTTAATTTCTCCAATTCCGTAAAAGAAACATTCACAAATGAGCTACCATCACTACTGGCCTCATATCCAGAGTTACTGGATTTTGGTGAACTCTGACACTGATATGAAGTTTCTGTTTTAATATTTCGGGCAGATCGTCTTCTGGGAGTAGTATCTGAAACCTTCCTTTTTGTTCCTCTTGTGCCTGTAGTATTGGAAGTCTGTTTTTTTTCTTCTCCTTCATGGACACATGAAATAATATGTCCTGATTTAGAAGATCCTAATATTTAAATAAAAACACTTTGTTGTAACACAGTGAAATAATAATTTTACAAATACTGAGAAATTATTCAATGAGAAAAATTCAATTATTTTATCATTGTTGTAAGTAGTCTTTTTTGTAGTCTTTTTTATAGAAAAGTTGTATTACAGTTTAACATACAGTCAACAAAGTCACTTAACATCACTTTAGCTGATGTTAACTCCTATCTTTTAGCTCCTGTGTAGCAATTGCAATAGCACATAGACTTATATACTGCTCCATACTGCTTTACAGCTCTCTCTGAGATGTTTAAGAGTCAACATATTGCCTCCAACAATCTGGATCTTCATTTTACTGACCTTGGAAAGATGGAAGACAAGTCAACCTTGAGCTGGTTAGGATCGAACTGCTGGCAGTCAGCAGAACTAGCTTACAATATTGCATTCTAACTCACCACCACAGTATAAATAAATCACAAATGTAAATAGAGGTACTCCCTGAGTTATGAGCGTTCCCTTAGTGAACGTTTGAAGTTACATGATAAGTGCCCCTAGCATTTACGAACAAATCACTATTGATCTCACATGATTTCACAGTACTTTAGGCCTCTGTTCTCTGCAAACGGAGGCCTGGATGAGAACTGCAGCAAAAGGCTTTGCAAATGGAGAGAAGGCCTGAAACATCAAAGCTTTCCCTCCATTGCAAAGCCTTTTGCCATCTTTGCAAAAGCCTTTTCTGCCAAGAACAGAGCATCTAGAGCAGAGGTCTCATTCTCGCGGCCCACGGGCCAATTGCGGCCCGCAGGACGATATCCTGTGGCCCCCCACCGTGATTTGAAAGCATAATATTAGTGCGTTCTCCATGCATCGCTAGCTGGCTAAACACTTCTATGTGCGGCCCAGCCTTACCCAGACTCTGCCTCCAACGGCCCCCAGGTAAATTGTGTTTGAGACCCCTGATCTAGAGGGAGCATGCGTTGCTCTGGAGCTCAGTTTTCACCAGGAAAGAAAGGCCTTTCCTCAAGACCTCTGCTGAAGAGAAGTTCCATTTTCAAACGCCTCATTCCATGCAGATGAAGTTTTCCAGTTTCTTTTAGGGCACCAAGTGTTTAAGAGACCCTGGGGCAGTTGGAAATGGAGTAATTTGCTCATTCTAACTGCCCCAGGGTCGATCAAATACTTGGTGCCTTGACAGAGACTGGAAACTTTGTCTACATAGAAATGGAATGCTTGAAAATGGAGTTCTTCATTCTGATTTCAAGCGATCCATTTCCATGCAGACAAAGTTTGCATTCTCCATCAGAGCGACAAGTGTTTCAGCAACCCTAGAGCAGTTGGAAACAGAGCAATTCACTCAGTTTTCAACCCCCCTAGGATCACTTAAACACTTTTTGCCCAGATGAAGACTGGAAACTTCTGGGGTGTATGGTCCCATGTGAGTTCAGGCACCCATCTGTTTTTGCAGAGAATGAGTGCCTGATGCTCTGTGGGATCAGGGTTCCAGTCTCCACGGGAAAAGTGGTCACATGCTAATGAGGATCTTGGAGCAATGTGAGTTCACTGCCCCAAGGCCTCACTTCATGCAAATGCTTTTCTGCATGGAGTCTGGAAACCTTTGGAGGAGACTCAATGAGGCTGCCTGCCACTCCAGAAGTGGCAAGTGGCAAGCAGACTTGGTGATCAGAGAAGCCGAGCAAGGCATGCTCATCCTGCTCTTCCTCTGTTCTTGCTGGGAACAGGCAAAGAAACAGACATGCTGGAGAGGAGACAGATCTTCATATAGTAAGTGACATGATGCGGCAGGTTGGGGGGGAAGCAACTGTGGGGAGCATGAGGTATTTCAGTGGGTTGGAGGCAGCCTTGGGTGGTCTGAAGCAGGTGGCCGGTTCCATCACTAGGCCCCCTCATGGCCTTCCCCACCCAAAATACCTCATGTGCACTTAACGAGCCTTGCATTCAAGTAGCAAATGCATGAAAGGAGGGAGTGTTCAAGGTACAAGCTTCACTTCCATGAATCCTCAGGTTACTCAAGCACTACCAGTATATAGAAGGTTTGCACTGGTTTACTATAAAGCCATCTGAGCAGCTAATGCCACGCACTTTGCACATTTATGAAGAAGTCTTGGACTGTGTCAGGAGCATTTCTAATATCTGAGAACAACAAAAACCCACAACTTGCTCCCAGGAATTACATGATTCTCCAAATATACTGTATTCAATTCAGTCAAGAATCTATCCATTTCTCCTTTTATCCTTGTGGTGGAACTTCATCCAATCATTTGTAATACTGATCAACTCAAATTTCAAAAGCTGTTTCTTTTAGGCAGCCATTAATTCTCAGATCCCTTGGAAAGAATCTCAAATATGTGAAAACATATTTATCTTTGGCTGTTGGTTTGTGCTCCGAGCTTGGCAATTTGGTTGCAAACATCACAATTTGAGGAGACATCATCAGTGCATTTTGGATTATTCTCATCTGTCAGAACACAGGTCTTTAAATACCTAAATATCTTTATAAGATGCAAATTAGTTTCACTGTTATTTGTTCAGATATTTCTGACTCATGGCCTGATTTCAGACTGTTTGATTCGCTGGCTGTTGTTGCTGGGCTGTCGTTAAGTACCATCTATGTGATGCAGATTAGGATTAGAGTTGTTATCTGGGTGCTTCTGAGTCATGGTCTGGTTTCAGCTTGTTGAGTGGCTGGCTGTTACTGAGATGTGGCCTGATTTCTTGTGAGCCAATGGATTATAATTTTGTTGCTGCATAATGAGGTGCCCGTTTGTTCATTTTAAATACTACCTTTGGGATCATGGTTGCTGTAGTTCTTTCATTCTCAGCAATTGGTAGACTGAGCCCATGTCAATGTGTCTGTTTTTGAAACCAGTCCGAAATCAGACCATGACTCAGAAATATCTGTTGAGGTGTTCCCCGTTAGGAGAATGAGTGCACTCAGGGAAACATAGTGAAAGTGGTGATGAATAACACACAACCAGCACACAGATACACTGAATGGTAAAATGTAAGTTTTACTTCCAGTAAACGGGTAAACAAAGTCCAACGAACAGTCCAAATCATACACAGTTAAAGTAGTTAGTATTCAAAACAATCGGTCCAGTGATAATCCAAAAACGAAGTCCTTTTCTTTACCAGTATCATAAGCAAAGTTCAGTAAATGGAGTTTGTGAACAGTTGCAAGACTCACAGCAATTCAATCAGAATGACGATCATGCAAAAAGGAAAAAGGGAAGCAAACCAGGTTTCTGGCTCCATCTTATGGCCATTGGAGAAACCTGAGCCAATCACAATTACAGCATTCTCTTAAAGATACAACAGTATTAAATGACTATCCTGGTTTATATATTGCCAACCCAACTGTTAGGTGACTATCACTCCTAACAATATCCGAACAAACAACATTCAGATTAATTTACATCTCATAAAAAGATATTTAAAGACTTGTGTTCTGACAGATGAGCACAATTCAAAACGCACTGGCGATGTCTCCTTGAATGGTGATGAAACATTTGCAACCAAATTGCCAAGCTCAGAGCTCAAACTAGCAGCGTAACTACCAACCCGAGCAACTAATATTCAAACACATTTTGCATTTATCTTTATCAATGTTGTACCAAACATTGGCATAGTTGCAAATTGTTTTATTTTTAAAAAGTAGAATGTCTTATTTTTAAAAAGTAGAACCGGGACTCTAGACCCAAAGCTGTACATTCTCTTCTATCTTCATCTCAAGTTTTCATTCTAATAAAGACTTATCCAGGTTTTCATATTAAAATATTCACACACATGCAAAATAAGAAAATATTTTTATAACACATTATAACACACTGCTCAAAATATTTTTATAATAATTATAATAGCACAGCTATTAGGTGAATGTGATTTAATTTTTATAATGCTTTATATAAACTAAATAAAACTTACAAAAAAAATTTACCAAAGTTTTCCAAAGGTGAAGTACTTATTGAAAAAACTGTTTCCAGAACAAGACAAGGTACTATTTCTGCTTCAGAAGATATGGAAGGAATTCTGTAAAAAGATGAATCCACAAAAAAAAAAAAGCATTACATGAACAATTTTTTAAAGCTTTGCTATGCAGTCAAATTCTTTGCTGGTTTCAAATACTTTGGTATCTGTAGATACATAAGATTTGGGAAACACTTTCCTCAAATTAAGAAACCCCTATATTTTAAATTCTGATAAATTATGCAGTATTAGCAAATCATCTAATCTCCAAAATACCTCTTAATACAGAGTTCATGAAATGTCCCTAAAACAAAGCATCATGTAAATGGAATTCAATTAATGTAATTTCCTCTTGCTTTGGTTCTGAGTTATTGATTTAATTTGCTGTATGGTTATAAACCAAAACCAAAACCAAAACAAACAGCACAGACCTCATTCACAGAGGATGAAAAGAAAAATGGGCAAAAAAATCTGTATGTATATGGAAAAAATGCATATATGAAAGATTCTTGCTTCTTTTGAAATTAAAAACGTTTGTTTCTTCTTAAATTAATCCTAATTAATGTTAACCACAGCTAGTTTTTTTTTTAGTAGGAATGAATCATATAATCAAAACCAAATATTTCCTAAAGCACTCAGTTAAAAATGGAGGAAATCCAAATATTACTCTATTTAAGATACTGGTACCAGATGATATAGATTTATTACTAACTCAAAACATTTTTAATAACAAGTTTCTAACCAGGCATCTATTTTACCTTGCCACTTTTGCTAATACAGAACAAGACAGCTCCAATTCTCTTCTTTTGTGTCTGATAATTGTGTCAATTTTGCTGATCTCTATACTGGAATAATTGGAAACATTTGAAAATAATTCAAATTATAATTCAAATAATTTAAAATAATTACAGGCACTTCATTTTAATGTACATTTTAATACCACATATAACAATTCAAGATGACCTATAGTATTACTTTCTCAATAATCCCATCAATATGTTGAGAGCACAGGGGTGGATTCTACTGGTTTGGTCTGGTTCTATAGAACTGGTAGCTCCGAAGAGCAGCTGATACCGAACTGGTTTGCTGCAACGATCTTCTGGTCTTCTGTTTGGCCCGGGCTCTAGGCTATCCTTTATTCCCTGTTTTTTCCTCCTCAGCTGCTTTGCACAACACAGCTGAATGCCACTCATCAGCTGGAGAAGGTAAATGCTTGCCAGAGCTGGTAATTTGTAAGTAGTGCATATGTTTCCCGAACTGGTTGTTATGCTGGTAGGACCCCACCCCTGTGAGAGCATTATATATACCAACCATAAAGAAAAGTCAGATATTCTCAAACTTTCCTAGTTCACAATATTTTAAATTCCTCAGTAATTTTTTCATGCCCCTCTTATTGATTCCCAAACTATGTGCTAAGGCAGCAAATGAACAATTTCATTTATTAAGTACTAAAATAGCATGCACTGCTGTTGAATGTCCACTGGGAGGGCTCTGATGTTGCACAGTTTGGAAACCAGGGCACTAAGGTTCAGTGTACATAAGGGCATGTCATCCTTATGTCCACTGAACCTTTCAATTATTCAAAAAATAAAATATCCAAAATGCAGATAGTTCTTGCTTAGAAAATGCATATTCAACAACTATTCAAAGTTACAATGGTGCTAAATGAGAAAACTTATATACTGGTTCTTGAAGTTGCAACCAACTTCACAACTCTTGGCAACTGGCCCTAAATATGATATTTGCCGTGTCCTCAATCACATGATCACAATCTGCAATGATCACAATCTTCTTTGTCAGTTTTCAACAACTGAAATCATTGGGGAAGCCAACAGAAATGTGTAAGTTGTGCTCATGTGATGTCATATGCGTGATTTGCTTAACTGGAACTGCTGTTGTAAATTGGTGCTTTTTCACTATATAACGATGTCTCTTAGTGATGGAATTGCCAGTACCAATTATGGTTGTTAATATGGTTGTTAATACCTTCATTTCCCCCCAGATTTTTACTTCATTAAAAAAAGGTTAGAATGACTTTTTCTTTTTCATATTTTATAGCTTATTACTGACAGGTTCTGCCTTACTAAAATCCCATTATGATTTCACAAGCCTACATTTACAGTCCTTACTTAACAAACACATCTGGACTGGCAACTCCATTGCTAAACAATGTGGTTGTTAAGTGAAACATGTGACTGCATCTAACTTGTCACTCAACGTCAGTTCTTCTGCAGCTATTAAATGAAACATCTGTGGTTTTAAGCACAATATCATGTGACTACAACCTGTGATTTCCTATTGGTTTCCCCACTGAGTTTGATTGATGGAAATTAGCTGTGAAGGTTGCAAGTGGTGATCACTCACCTGAAAATGCGACAACTGTTATAAATGTACACAATGTTGCCAAGCACCCAAATCATGCACTCTAATATTAAAGTCCATGATACCAAGTTTATTTTTCTAATCCAATAGAATATTAGACAGCAAGCAGGATAATTATCTAAAAACGGAACAGAACAAATTTTGATAGGGAGCAGCTCTCTGGCAAAAGAAAAACTGAACCTGAAAATAGGCCAGGTTAGAAACTGTGTGTGTGTGTGTGGGGGGGGGGGAATCAAACACATTTTCCCAATAGAATTGGGCAGTGATCTGGAATGATTCTAATTAAGTCCCTTTCGTTTTGTTCTCATGATCCAAAGAAGAGCTATTATTAAGGGTTGGAAATAATTTCAGAAATCACATTTTTTAAAATATTGTTTGCTTTCTAGTTACCTCTCTATGACAACATATGGCGGTTTGGGAGGAAAGCTAATAACACAATTTCTCCAAAAAGCAAAGGGAACTATACTAGTATTTACTGTATTATAAAATTCTGGATAACGAATAAATGTATACTGACCTTTCACTTTGATAATTAGGAGCTACATCAGAGAAACTACTGTTAGAAGAAAATCTATCACACCAGTTACTTTTGAAGAATCTGTTCAAGCAGGTCTGTCTTCTAGGCTATAAAATAAAGTATTTATATTGGACATCCACCATAGTTTCCCCCCCTCAAAATTTAACATACATACACACAACTTTCCAACTTGCGATGGAAAAATATTTTCTTTATATTGTACTCATGAAAGAGTATTTGTTTATAAATTGCTGCAATCAAACCAATCTAAGTGGTACACAATTCCCCAAATATGCATCTTTCGTTAAAAACAAGCACAAATAAATAATCAACAGTATAATCAGTAATTAAATTAAAAATAATAAATCCAAATTTGCATAGATAAAAACTAGAAACCGATGCAGAGGAAGAGTTGCAATAACCTCATCTCAAGGTTTAATAGAATAACCAAAAACTAGGAAGGAGGAGGCCATTCAAACATCTAAGGAAAAGAACAGTAACTGAAAAGGCATACTTGTATCCCCTTACAGACAACAATTCATGTAACATATAGAGAAACTGTCGTATCAGATCATGTTGGGCAGTCAGATATTCAGAAGGTGGTGCAGGTCCTGACTCCAAAAGGTGTTAAAAATAAAAACTAAACCCTTAATTTGAATGAAGAAACGGGTTGGTAACTAATGCAGTTCATATAGTAGAGATGTTTTACAGGTGCCTCAAAGTTCTCCTTAACTATTTGAATGATCAGAGTTTGGATCACATGTAGTTTCTGAATGCTCATCCCTGATCACAGTCCAATAAAGAAATGACTAAGATATGAGTTACAGTGAGTAATGTACTCTATTCCAAGAAAGATTGCAATTGTCATATAAGCTGAAGCCACACAATGACCTCTTGGCCACAGCTGCTACTATTCCTCAAGCAGGAGCTGCAAATCCAAGAAATCTCCAAACTGCAAACTTCCCTAGTTCTGTTCAGGGCACTATGATCTCATTTAAATTAAAATACCATATTTCTCTGGAATCAGATCTGGCTTTTCAACCCAAAGCACTCAATCTCTTGATTTCTACTGTCAAAGACCCCTGGCATTTTGACAATACTGACAATATCATTTTTTCAGCCTAAGGTGAGATATAAACTTGGATACTGTTTGCATACTGATGACATCCATACTTTGGCTAATGGATGACCTTGGTCATCAGCTTAATGCAGATGTTAAATAGGAGTACAAAACCATCCAGACACTATAGTTCTTGGTATATAGACAATTTCCAACATCCTCTGAATCTTGTTTTACTAGACTCTACCTTGCCCTATCCTATACATTTGGTCTGCAAATGCTACTTGGAAATCTATATGCTTTATAAATTAGGCCATTTCAATTAGCAGGTGTTTAAAAAAAAACACACTGATGATGAGTATTAGTGATCATAGACGTAGATATTTTAACTACTAAAGCCGCATGATAGTTTGAATTCTCCAGTTGCTTTAAGTCTTAGTTACGTGTGTGTGTGTGTGTGTGTGTATGTGTGTGCATGTATATATACATATATTTTCATTTCATGAATGTTAGTTCAATTTTCTCTTAAAGTTATGAATATTTCAGAATTTGAGTTATATTTCTGAAATATTATTTATCTCTTTGTTACTAAGTACCTGCATAGATCTAAGAACTTGTTTAATAATTAACTTTATAGAGTATTAACATTATTAGCAAAATGCTGTGGCCTTAAAGCTACACAATAGCTACACACAAGTGCACAGATACAATCTGGATTTAACTATCTCTCTTTCACTAATCAAACCCCTTTCAAGGTAGCATGGCATGAGTTAAAGATACTGTTTTAACTTGATTTTTGTAGATTTCATTTCTTCCCTCATCATTGTCAAACTGTACATCAGAATTACCCTGATCTTCTGTGATATATGTTCATCTAGACCTCAAGTTACCAATGAAAAAGATTTCACTGAACTTATGTGATTTACTTCTGACTATGCATAAAAACAGCAATGGTTTTAGGAAAAAACTATCATGTAATCTGCAACTCTTACACTGCAAAAACATAAGGACTACTCGATCAGGGCAAAGTAATAGATGCAATCTACATAGACTTCTGTAAAGCCTTTGATTCAGTGGTACATGACAAACTACTCCTAAAACTAAAATCTTATGGTATCTTTGGACACCTGCATAACTGGATAGAAGCATTTCTGTCAAACAAGACAACAAATGGTCAAAATTGGGAGCGTCCTATCCAATTCTGGACCTGTCAACAGTGGTGTCCTCCAAGGCAGTGTTCTAGGACCAACTCTTTTCATACTCTACATAAATGAACTCTGTGATCATATCAAGAGCAACTGTGTTCTCTTCGCTGATGATGTAAAGCTATTCAACACCACAGACAATACTGCTACCCTTCAAAAAGATCTTGACTATGTATCAGAATGGTCAAACAAATGGCAACTTCAAATCTCAACAAATAAATGCTCTGTCCTACATATTGGCAAAAAAAACCAGAAAATAAAATACAGGCTAAATAGTCAAGACCTTGTTGATGATCCAAAGTCTTTCAAGGATCTTGGAACACTCATCTCAAATGACCTAAGTGCTAGAGCCCACTGTAACTACATAGCCAAAAAGGCATTAAGAGTTGTTAACCTAATCTTACGTAGCTTTTTCTCTGGTAATATTACACTAATAACTAGAGCATACAAAACATTTGCTAGACCAACACTCGAATACAGCTCATCAGTCTGGAAACACATTACGTATCTGATATTAACACAGTTGAGGAAGTCCAGAAATATTTCACAAGAAGAGTTCTCCACTCCTCTACTCATTGCAGAATACCTTATGCCACCAGACTCGAAATTCTAGACCTAGAAAACCTACAACGCCACCTTCGGTCCGATCTAAGTATAGCATATAAAATCATACATTGCAATGTCCTACCAGTCAATGAATACTTCAACTTCAACCATAACAACACAAGAGCAAACAATAGATACAAACTCAAGGTTAATCGCACCAAACTTGATTGCAGGAAATACGACTTCAGCAACAGAGTGGTCAATGTTTGGAATACTCTACCGGACTCTGTGTTTTTTTTCCCCAAACCCCAAAAACTTTAACCTTAGACTGTCTAGTATTGACCTCACCCCTTTCCTAAGAGGTCTGTAGGGGGCGTGCATAAGTGCACCTACGTGCCTACCATCCCTGTCCTATTGTTTCTTTTATATTTTTTTTTATTTTTCATATAAGTATCCATGTATTCATAACTATGTTTTTACTTATGCCTATTATCTTGTAAGCAATTGACAAATAAAAATTAAAAAATTATCAAATAGTAGTTTTTTAATGACAGAATGATACATGACATTGGTTACTGCCAGTTCAATGATTAGACATTATCAGCACCAGGAGTTCTACAGCACTCAAATTTCAACAACCTTCCAAAACAGCTAATTTTATGCCTCAGAAAAAGCAAATACAATCAATAGAGAGAAGGATGTTTCAGTGACATCTGGGCACTGAGCCACAGAAAGTTTTGTCAAGTGATAACAAGCATCTTGAAGTTCAGTCAGAAACATGTTGGTGTCAATGCAGTTCCTTCAGCAATGGGATTAGAATAGATAGAATTCTTTATTGGCCAAGTGTGATTGGACAAACAAGGAATTTGTCTTGGTGCAAATGCTTTTAGTGTACATAAAAGAAAAGATACATTCATCAAGAGTCAAGAATCATCAGGTATGAGACTTCCGGTTTGAAGGGCTTCAGTGGCAGGCAGGAGTCCGCGATCGTGCGTGGTTTCTGCCTGGGCTCGCTGCTGCAGTGCCCTGAGCCAGCTGGCTTCGGGGCTAAGCCACCCTGTAGAGGTGGTGAAGAGGGGGGAGATCGCTAGCAGGGTCGAGGAGAGCCGCATCTATCCTCCTCAGCTGGCCAAACTCCCTTTCCTGAAGGCGGTAGGAGCGGTGGTCAGAAATGGCCACCTCAAAGAAGCACTCAACTGGAAAAGAAAGTGCAGGAGGAAGATAAGAAGTGAAAGTTTTGGCTGACCAGGTTAAAAAAGCAACAACTAAGGTACGCTGGAATTTAAATTTTATAAAAGATAACATCGCTCCCAAAGAAGAGTCGGAAGCAGCGAAAGAAAGTGAAAAGGGAAAGTTTTTTTTTTCTTCTCTCTCCTTCCTTACATTGACAACTAAGAGATCTGAATAAGAAATCGGAAAAATCCACTTTGGCAACAATAGGCAATTAAACTGAAAATATAATTAAATGCCAAAGGGACAATAAAGATTTCTGGACACTAAAAATTTTTTTTCTATAAGCAGGAAGGGAGAGGAAAAGAATAAGGGCAGGATCTGGAGGGAGGAGACTGCCTGGACTTCAAAAGAATCTAAAGTAAAATCTCAACAAGACTTCTAAAAGATACATTTTAACTGGAACTTTGCAACTCAATAGTAACCCCAGGAAGAGAAAGTGAAAAAAGAAGAAAGTGTAAAAAGAAACAGCTTGTGTGTATTTGGATTGCTTGGTGACTTTTGGATTTTTGGTTATTATATTTGAATGACTAAAAACAATTGGGTGGCTGTTACATTTTTTTACAATGGCATCACTTCTGGATGAATTGAAAATGGAACTTAAAAAAATATAAAGAAGAGACACAAGAAGGGAAGGGCTCTTTTGGCTTCGTTTTTCAATTCTTAGAAATGGAGATCTGTAACTACGAGAAACAACAAGAAAAGACTGCGCAACAAGAAGATTGGGATAAAGAAGAAGCCATCTTTAATGAACAAGTAACTCTATTTGGGGAAGAAAGGGGAAAGGGAGGAAAGAGAATGGAGAATTTAAGACTTAAAAAAACAGCCAAAAAAGGGAAAAATAATTTGAAAAGTGGATATAATGTTGGAAAGCAACAGAAAAGGGGAATACAGAAGAGGGAAATGGAGGTGGAGAGACAAGGGGGTAAAAAGGGGAGAGGGAAGAGAGGAAAGAAGGAAAGGAAGAGAAGTTACAACAGTTTGGAGCAAGATGTACAGAAACAGGACCTATTTAGAGATAATGGGTGAAAATCTAACTGAAAAAGGGATTCTGTGAAGGTACACAAGATTGTATTGTTATATTTGTAGTAGAAATAATGTTAGAAAATTGGAAACAACATATGATTAAAAAGAGGGATAAAATAGTGTAATTTAGTGAAACACTTGTGAATTAAATAACTGAAATAAAATAAATGAGAAAATCAAATTAGGACGGAACAGGAACATTTTAATTAGTCAATGTTTTATAAAATATAAGTGAAGAGGGGGGGGAATTAACTATGGAAAGTTTATAATTGTTCCCAGAAGTATGATATTTATTTGAAAAGTAATGTGCAAAATGTTAAGATTTAAATGAATATTAATATTAATGATAGAATTGAATTGGAATGGATTGTTGTTTTAATTATATTATACATTTATAATTTTTTCTTTTTTCAAAATACAGTGTGTAGTTTTAGAATGTACTAAGCAGAATCTGAATGGAAGTTATGTATTATATTAAGTGTTATAATTTTAGGGGAAAGATATAAAGGCGTCATACTCCAATCAGTGATTACAGGAGAAATTTTGTTTAATGAGAAAAGATAGTAGACAGTTGAAACAGATAAAATAAATAAAATAAAATTAAGAAAGTTAAAAGAGGGGAGAAGCTATATAGAAAATGTAAAATAGTAATAAGATATGGAATGGAATATAAAAATGAGCATGAACTTAAATTTGTGTCTATACGAAGAGATGTAACCCGGGATTATGCTGCTTTCAAAAAATATGTTTTATGTTTTGTTTATGTTTGTTTTTAAAAACCAATAAAATTTACAAAAAAAGAAGAAAGAATCATCAGGTACAACACTTAATAACAGTCATAGGATACAATAAGCAATCAAATCATACTAGGAAACAGTCAATATAAATAGTTAAGGATACAAGCAACAAAGTTAGTCATACAGTTACAAGTGGGAGGGGATGGATGATAAGGAGTGATGAGAAGATTAATAGTAATAGTAGTGCAGACTTTGTAAATAGTTGGAAAGTGTTGAGGGAATTATTTGTTTAGCAGAGTGATAGCTTTCGGGGAAAAACTGTTCTTGCGTCTAGTTGTTCTGGTGTGCAGTGCTCTATAGCGTCGTTTTGAGGGAAGGAGTTGAAACAGTTTATGTCCGGGATGTGAGGGGTCTGTAAATATTTTCACAGCCCTCTTTTTGACTCATGCATATACAGGTTCTTGACTGAAGGCAGGTTGGTAGTAATTGTTTTTTCTGCAGTCCTAATTATCCTCTGAAGTCTGTGTCTGTCCTGTTGGGTTGCAGAACCAAACCAGACAGTTATAGACGTGAGATGACAGACTCAATAATTCCTCTGTAGAACTGTATCAGAAGCTCCTTGGGCAGTTTGAGCTTTCTGAGTTGGCGCAGAAAGAACATTTTTTGTTATGCTTTTTTGATGATATTTTTGATGTTAGGTGTGCATTTTAGGTCTTGTGATAGGGTAGAACCTAGAAATTTGAAGGTCTCTACTGTTGATACTGTGTTGTCTTGTATTGTAAGAGGTATGGGAGAGTTTCTCCTAAAGTCTACTACCATTTCTATGGTTTTGAGTGAGTTCAGTTCCAGATTGTTCCGGTTATACCACGAGGCAAGTTGTACCTCCTGTCTGTATGCGGATTCGTCATTGTCTCGAATGAGACCAATCACTGTTGTATCATCTACAAACTTCAGTATTTTAATAAATGGATCATTTGAGATGCAGTCATTGGTATATAGGGAGAAGACAAGTAGAGAAAGCACACAGCATTGAGAGGGTCCTGTGCTAATTGTACAGGTATCAGATGGAATTCTGCCTAGCTTCACCTGCTGCTTCCTGCCTGTTAGGAAGCTTATGATCCACTTATAAGTGTGTTCAGGTAGCGCTAGCTGGATTAGCGCTATCTGGATTAGTTTAGTTAGAAGAATGTCTGGAATCATAGTGCTAATTGTACAGGTATCAGATGGGATTCTGCCTAGCTGCTGCTTCCTGTCTGTTAGGAAGCTTATGATCCACTTACAAGTGCGTTCAGGTACCGCTAGCTGGATTAGTTTCGTTAGAAGGATGTCTGGAATGATGGTATTGAATGCTGAACTGAAGTCTACAAAGAGGACCCTTGCATAGGCATTTGGAGATTCAAGGTGTTGTACGATGTAATGCAGAGCCATATTAACAGCATCACCTGTCAATCTATTTGCTCAATATGATTATCTAGAAGTATTTTCAGTAAAAATATGGATTATGCTGTTTGCAGCATTTGAAGCTTCTGAATGGTCTCCAATGGCTTGCCAATATCAAGCAAATCCATAAGGAAGATATGAAGGACATGTGTGATCACCTTTAGTGTTCCACATAATAGTACAATTGCTGCACCAACATAACCTAACCTGGCCAAAGGTCCTGCCAAAGATGATTCTTAGATTGCAGGTCACCTCTCCATGAGGCAACACCACCCCATTGAGTGTCAATGATGAAACAATCCCTGAATGAATAGGATTCTAAATGTAAAGCCACTCTGTCTTACTTAGATTGATTTTGATCAGGGATTCCACTATATCTTCTATTTAGTCTGAATTATAGATATCTAACTTAGGCATCATCTGCATACTGATAAAAGCATTAGGAAGATAAATGTAATAGTATATAGTTTAATAGCTTAACAGATTTGGAAGGGACCTTGTAGATCTTCTAGTCCAGGGGTCCCCAACCACCGGTCCGTGGACCGGTACCGGTCCGTGGGACAATTTCTACCGGGCCGCCGGTTTGCTGGGCACCGCCAACTTGTTTTGATGAAAAAGTGCTTCCGGTGAGCTTTTCCGGGTAGAAAGCGGCATTTGGGTGCTGAAAGAATCCTCGTGCCTTAGTTTCATCGAAGGGGGGGGGGCAGCTTCGAACAAAACTAAGGTGCGAGGATTCTTTCAGCATGCATGGCAAGGCGAGCCAAGCGACCGTCCCAAAGCCGTCACGAAGCCCATCGACACAGGTACAAAGGAGGAGCTGAAGGTGGCAGGGACAAGCGGGGGACGGCTGGCTGGCTGGTTGCTCGGCTTGCCTTGCCATACATGCTGATGCTGGTACTGGGCCGCGGATGATTTTGTGATGCCAGTACCGGGCCGCGGCACAAAAAAGGTTGGGGACCACTGTTCTAGTGCAACCTCTTTTTGAAAACTTCCAGTGATGAAGTTCCCACAACTTCTGAAGGCAAGCTGTCTGATTGATTGTTCTCACTGTCAGAAAATTTCTCCTTATTTCTAGGTAGAGTCTCTTCTTGATCAGTTTCCATTCATTATTCCTTGTCTGGCCTTTGGGTGCTTTGGAAAATAGCTTGACCCCCTCCTCTCTGTGGCAGCTCCTCAAATATTGGAACACTGCTATCTTGTCTCCCCTGGTCCTTCTCTTCACTAGACTAGCCATGCCCAGTTTCTGTAACTGTTCTTCATACATTTTAGTCTCCAGTTCCCTAATCATCTTGGTTCCTCTTCTCTTCACTTTTTCTAAAGTCTCAACATTTTTTTTAACAGAGTGGTGACCAAAACTGGATGCAGTAAATTAAATGTCATATTTAAATAAATCCGCTTTTCTTTTCAAGAATTGTACTTTTTTAAATAAGCCATTCAATAGTTTAAATTATGACAAATCAGTTAGCATATAGACATTTGCATTATTTAAATAACAATTTACAAGCAGTTTTATGCAGGTATACTTTTGGTTTTAATGATATTTCAATGAGACTTTCTTATAATGTGTGCTATTTTAAATAGCAGTTTAAGAAATTGAAAATGTTTCACATATTTAATTTTAGCATGCTTAAAAATGACTGTAATCCACAACTATATTATAAATTAGTGCTTAAAACAAATCATAGATATATTTATTTCAATTGCCCAATTCTACTTATATTGTATCCTTTAGTTCAGGGGTGTCAAACTCATGGCCGTCAGGCCAGATGCGTCACATGCTGGGCCCGTCCCCGCCCGGTTTAGGGAAGGGGAAAAAAGTCCCGATACGTCATGTGATGCTGCCATGATACCGTGAGTTTGGCACCCCTGCTTTAGTAAGATCTAATTAATATTATCAAACAGGACATTTTTTAAGGTTAAGATTTCTAAATTCTAAAAGTAGCATAAGTTAACTTCACAATGATCAGTTTAAATGTCAACAAAACAGAAAATGCAATAGCTCAAACACATGAAGGAGAAGAAAAACGTATCTGAGAACATATTAAAAGTGAAGGATTTTAAAATGAAATCATTTGAAATCTTCATTATTTTAAATATATAATGTGAACAAACCTTATTTTTCTTCACTGAATTTGTAACTTCTTCCTTGTTTGAAGGATCTTTATAATTAAAACAAAAAAGAAAATATTCAGCTTGATCTTTTAAGCCCCAAGGCAAATATAATTATCAATCCTAATTAATTTTAAAGAAATTCTGTTGCAAGTATTTAACTACTGAAAGAACTTAAAATGCAGGAAAACTTATTCTAAGTCTCTTTTAAAGTCATCCAGAATGACACATAAAATATGTATTTCTTTCTTAAGATCTTTGTTACCTCAATAAGCAAGCTTCAATTCAGGAATGCAGCAATTGCAACGAAAGTTTTCTGCAAGGGAAACTTTCATGATCTCATCACACAGCATTAAATGCCATAGTATTTAAAACCACAACAAGAATTCTGCTGGATACCATATAAAGCTAACCTAATCCAACAACTTGTTTTCACATTGTCATGGCAGATATCTATGATAAGTCCATATGTACAACGGGACATCCAAGTTCCTCAGCAACTGAGATTAAGAGGATGTTTCTCCTAATATTAGAAATTTTACCATTATGAATGCTAGCTATATAGAGAGGTATATTTGGCATAGATTGTGTTACTTTCTTTTAAAATCAACATTGTTGGAGTAATTACATGAGTTGTGAAATGTGAAGAAGAGTCATTCTTTTTATAACTTCAAACAATTAAACTTAACTGAATGACCTCAGATGTCAAATTAGGAGAGAAAAACTTTTCCCAAATATCAAATTATGAAAACCTTTCTCTATCTGCAGCTTATACATTATTCATAATCATATAGCATCTGTACAATAATTATATATATTTATATTGTCTTCCATGCTTTGATTTTTTTTAAGGCTACAAGGCATAGCTGAATTATAAAAGTTCAAATTAATTTTAATGGACTTAAACATGGAATTAAATGATGCCATGGTACATATTTGGCCATTCATTTAAAATTTATCATTAGATAAATATCTGATCTGCCTCTCATCTGGACTACTCTATTGAAACAAACAAAAAAACTGTTCCTTGAATTTTAAAAATTCAGGAAATAGGTTACAACAGTGTATTGATAGTATTTGAAAAGCCAAATAGGCTTTTTGAATCACAAAACTAAACTTCATGAAATGTTTGAAGTACAGACTTTGCCTGATATGTCTTTCTGCACTTAGATCTGCTAACTGAAATACAAACACATGCAGATATGCAAAACCAACTTTAAAACAGTAAAATATGAATACGAGCAGGCTCAAGGATTTTGATTTTGCAAAGAATGTTGTGCTTTGGGGAAATAAGATAAACTAAACTATAGCTCATAAAAGATTAAGCTATAACACGATCAATTACTTAGAATTTCTGTTAACTTCTTGCTACAACAGGCTAACATAAGAGGACTTTTAGAAACTGTTTAAGATAGTGAATTTGGCAGAAAAACAAATATACAAAGCATTCCTCAGAACAGTTTAACTGCCCAAGATAGTTAATTTGTTAGAATAGCAAATATATTCAAAGAACCAATGACATGGTTTGTGAAAATGTCAAAAGAAGGCCAAGAAGTTGATCAAAATGACTCACTGTAATTTGGGTTCCAGCTTTTATAAATTACTGGTAAAAAACTTGTGCTGACATTTTCCTGTTTTCTGGGGAAAAAAACATACCAAAGATTAGTTATGATTACAGTTAATTTTATGTTTGTTAATAATGTATTTGAGCTTTTAAAAAAACCCGAAGATATGTTAACAATCCAGAATAATATTGTCAAAAAAAAAAAAAGAACAGTGACCCACTCCATTAAAAAATAAGAGGTTATCCAGTTGAGCTTCTTTGGTGACAGACCAAAATCTGTGACCGTGCGCAGTTTCGATTTGTGCTCGCTGCTGGAGCGCCCCAAGCCAGCTGGTTTCGAGGCTAAGCCACCCCATAGAGGTGGTGAAGAGGGGGGAAACTGCCAGCAGGGCCGACGAGAGCCGCATCTCTCCTCCCCAGCTGGCCATTACTCCCTTTCCTGAAGGTGGTTGCAGCAGTGGTCAGAAATGACCACCTCAAAGAAGAACTCGACCAGAAAAGAATTTGCAGGAGGAAGATAAGAAGAGAAAGTTTTGGCTGACCGTGTCAAACTGGAAAAACAACAATATAAGGTACCCTGGAATTTGAATTATAAAGAACAACATTGTTCCCAAAGAAGACTTTGAAGCTGCGAATGAGAGAGGGAAGGGAAAGGATTTGGTTTTTTTTCCTTTTCTTCTCTATATTGTCAACTAAGAGATTTAAGCAAGAAACCGGCAAAAATCCACTTTGACATTAACAGGTATTTAAGCTGAAAATAAAATGTCAAAGGGATAATAAAGATTTCTGGATTCTCAAAAACTTTTAAAAGAAGGAAAAAAAACAAAAGGGTGGGATCTGGAAAAAGGGAGGAGACCATCTGGAAGTGAAAGGAATTAACAATAAAACTTTAACAACATTCCTAAAAGATACATTTTAACTGAAACTTTGTAACAAGATAAGAGAACCCCAGGAAGAGAAAGTGGAAAAAAGAAGCAAGAAGAAACAGCTTTGGATTATTTGGATTACTTGGTGATTTTTGGATTTTTGGCTATTGGATCTAAAGGACTAAAATCAATCGGGTGGTTGTTTAAAAGTTTTTAAAATGGTATCACTCTTGGAAGAATTGAGAACGGAAAGAACAAACAGAAAGAAGATGCACAAGAAGGAAGAGGTTCTTTTGGCTTCGTATTTCAATTTTTAGAAATGGAGATCCTGAACTATTAGAAACAACAAGAAATGCCTGTAGAACCAGAAGGGCGGGACAAAGAAGAAGCCATTTTCAATTATCAAGTATTTCTATGTGGGGAAAAGAAAGGGAAGAGGGGAAAGAGAGTGAAAAATTTAAGATCTGAAAAAACAACCCCCCAAAGGAATAGTTTGAAAAGTAATTATAACATTAGGAAGAAACAGAAGAGAGGATTAAAGAAGAGAGAATCAGAATTAGAGAGAGAAGGGATCAAAAAGAGAAGGGAGAAGAAGAGGAAGAAGAGGGAAAGGAAAAGAAATTATAAAGGACAGAATCAGGACATAGAGAAACAGGGGAAACATACAAGACACAGAGATAATGGGTGAAAACTTAATTGAAAGGGGGATTCTGCAAGGGTACATAAGATAGTATTGTTATATTAGAAACAGAAATGAACTTTGAAAATATGAAACAATGTGTGATTAAAATGATAAATAAAATACTCATTGTAATGTAATGTAATGTTTAATACATAAATGAAATAAAGAGAATGAGAGAATGAAATTAGGAAAGGATGGGAACATTTTAATTATTATAAATGTGTTATAAAAAATTAAGTGAAGAGGAATATGAAAGAAACATGAAAAAATTATGGAAATATTATAAGTGTTCCTAGGAGTATGATATACTATTGAAAAGGAATGTTAAAGACATCAAAGATTATAACTAACATTAATGATAGAGCTGAATTGGAATAGAATGAGTATTTTATTTATTATTGTTTTACATATATATATATTTATTCTCTTTAAGAATTTAGTGAGTATTTTAAGAATGAACCAAGCAGAATTCAACTGGAAGTTATGTGTTATATTGAATGTTATAATTATAAAGGCATAAATTGAAGTTTAAATAAGAGTTCAATGGATAAAAATTAAAAGATACAAAGGTGTCATACTCCAATTAGTAACTACAGGGGAAAATTTTGTTTAATGAGAAAAGAAAATATGAAATTGAAACAGGACAGACAAAAGTATAAATATGATGACTAGAAAGGTATTGAAACTTAGAAAAAGATATATATATATATATATATAAAATTGAATTTAGAAAGGAAAGAGATAATTAAAAGTAAGATTGAGAAAACTAAGGGAAAGGAAAATTATTGAGAAAATGTTAAAATAGTAATAAGATATGGAATAGGACACAAAGATGAATATGAAATTGAATTTGTGTCTGTATGGAGAAGTGATAACCCAGGACCATACTATTCTCAAAAAAAGAAATTTTACTTGTATTATGTTTTGTGAAAACCCAAATAAAAATTTTATTTAAAAAAAATTAGAAAATAAAACTATATTTGCTCTTCTGAGCAACATAAAGATTGATAGTACATATAATTGTGAATACAGTTATTCCTCAAGATACAATAGATCAATTAGCGTCTGTTCAAACTTTAGACCCCCCCCCCCAAAAAAAAATATTTACAACCTGGTCCTAAAGTTACATGTGTTGCAACATATTGGTCGTTCGCCCTTACAACCAACCACAGAGATGCAGAGACATGTCCTCCTGCCTTCCCCCACCTAACCTGCCCCGCTGGATCTCTACGGGCACTGGCCCTGCTTTGCTAGCCTCCCAGATTCTGATCCTCCCCACCCCATTTTCCATCACTTACTTTTCAATGATCTCCAGAGTCCCAGAATCGATTGACCCACATGGCAGAAAAGTCATTTATTCAGATGCTGGTGAAGCTGTAAGAATGTGAGATGTAAGAAAAACAGCTTTGCTAGCATCTGAATAAAATATTTTGGCCTGTCTGCCATCAGGTCAGCATCCCTGAAGGCTTTGTTTTGGCCTAGCCTGGGCAGCACTGAAGCAGCCTCCTGCTTGCTGTGTCAGCGTTCCAGGAAAACAAACTCCAACACCAAAACTCCAAGACGGGCATTTTCTCAAAGTTCCATTTTATTAGAATTGTCATACTGGCACATCTGGGAAATCCTGAATCTAAGAGTTCTGGGTTATCTTCCAATAATTAAAAATCACAAAATTCATCCCCTGCACCCATCACTCCATCACATGGACCAATCACCCTCCATTCCAACTTGAGACATTTCTTAAACCACTCCTTTTCCAGGTGCAGGAATAACATGACTGTAAAGAAGAATGCTACTATGCCTAACTACAACAACTCTACAAAATCCCCCCCCCCCCCCCCAATTTCCCAGGCACAGGAATGTGGCCGTGTGGAAGCTTCTGGTGCTAATATGGCTTCCAAAGCTGAGAAGCTGCTTACTAGCTGGTTTAAATAAGCTGCTTCAGGGATTGGGGTGTGAAGGCAGCGGGGGGCAGCCAATCAATATGGAGCTTGTGTCTCATCAGGCTAAACTGCAAACTCCATGTTGATTGGCTACTTCATATGCAAAAACATATCTGAAGTATTTCAAATGTGAAAATAATGTTTTTCTTATAATGTAAAGACAGTTTACATGTGGTATTGCTAACCTTTTACAAGTTTTCATAGTTATAGGGCAATTCTTGCCCTTATTACAACTGATGATGTCATCTTTTTTGCTTATTTGTTGCTTTATTTGAACCTGCAAAGAAATTAATATTAGAATTAGTACAAGTTTTCCAATCATTTATTCTAATGTTTTATTTTTTAGGAGTAAATTATTAATGAATCTGTAACAATATTCACTTGTTTAAACCATTTACAAATACTACTACATATTCAATGTATTATTTCCCAAATGAACTTTAAGTCAATATATTGTCAATCTCAGAAAAAGAGTAAAGCAAAATCTCTGACATACAAAGTTTCAAAGCAGAAAAGAAAAAAAAACAGGTAAGGCTTCATTTGAATTAAATCTACAGCTGCTATATATGCTTTTGTTACTGAAAAGAAACACTAGAAAAACTAATTTTATTAATTAAATCTTGGAACGTACCTTTACAGAATCTTCTGAAGTATTTAGTTTATACACAGCCTTGAACTGTTTGCGGTCCATTGGGCACGAAGCTCTAGTCTAAAAGATTTAAATTAACGTTCAGAATTTTAAAATGAATATTTGAATTTTTTTAAATTATAAGTATAGGTTTTGGTTATAATTCATGAGGGATATAAAATATAAACTTGCATCATATTATCCCTGGCATCCACAGAGTTCTAAGTATTATCATTTATTTATTTTTCATATTTAATTTTAATTTTTATATACTTTTTTATATTTTGAAGTTTAATAGTACACCACCGGGTCCCTCCTTTATAGAGACGGGGGTTCACAAATATAAAACATAAATATTATCATTTACATATATTAACATACAACTTTACATGAACAGACTCTTGCTTGAGCAGTGTGACTATTATTTACTCACACAGATAACCCACAAATTCTTGGACGATCCTTGAATTGATTTAACACAGAATGCAGAAAATTAAGAACCATTCCTTGAGCAGAATAACAATATAATTCCCTCAAATGTTCAGCAGTTACAAAATTTCTTTTAAGCAGGTGGAATAGTTGTTTCATTTTGACCATTTTGGAAAGCTTAAGCAGCTTTTCTTTCTAGGAATTTTTTTTAAAGAAACTGTTTAAAATTAAAATAACTTAAATAGAAATGAGCAATAATTGTAGATGTTTAAAGCATAATATAAAAAATATATATAAAGGAGTTAGGAAAAAAAGAAAAAAATGAAAGAAATAAAAATAGGTTTACTTGAATGCTATTGAGTCTTTCATATTTTAAATTCTTATTTAAACCTTTTCTTTACTGAGGTTACACAATACTCACAAGAATAAATAACAACTTATGAGTTAGGGGTTAATGTGTGCTTTTAATGTATGCACACATATTCATTTCATTTTTTGTTTTTTTCTATCGCTCTTTTAATAAAAAAAATTAAAATTAAGGAGAATATGCACACAACCAAAACACGTTATTTATTTGAGTGTGGTGGCACCCAACGCCAGACTGAATATGGGGCCCAGTATAGACTGCAGCATAAATTTGGCTGCAATTACTTGTAAAAAATAAGTGAGGACCTTGACAGAGTTACACAAGAACTGTTACATAAGCAAAGGGGGCTGAAACATTCTTTAAACCCTGAGAGCACAAGACATTGAGAAACTACTCAGGCAGGTTCCCCTCTGATTCACTGTGGCTTAAGAAGGGTGTATGTGTATAAAACAGAACCACATTTGCAAGAGATTGTTATTTCATCCTGTGTCAGTAAAATATTTCTTACTATGGAGTTGATTTTCTGGTCTGGTCTACCTAGTAGAATTGAAAAAAAATAGATGCTTGCACAGAAATAAACTCGAATTAAAAAAGATTTATTTCTGAACAGAAATGCTTTTACAATAGTATTGAAAGGGAAACACTTTTGAAGTTTTCTGGATAAAATCATGCAAATGACAGCTAAAGAATAACTGGAACGATTTTGCTGTTGCTACGGTTAGAGAATGCTTAGATTAAAGCTTCATGATTTTTGCTAACAACTAAAGATATTGTTTGTTCTATACACATGGAACTATTAGTCTGGTATCTTATTTAACCTGCAGATTAATCCAAAATATTATAAAGAATATTATAATCCAATGTAATTTTTAGTGGGATAATGATAAATGTATATCTAGCTGTTTTTGGCAATAAAGATGATGTGTGGCACACAGCTCAATATTTTTCCATTACATCAATCCTCTGTACAAGCTAGATATCAGCCTGCTATATTTCTGTTTGGAACCACATTTAAAATAATCATCAAAACTTGGGATTTAAAACTCCAGCTACAAAGAAAAGAGATTATTTCTTTATTTCTGTACAGCAAAAGAAAGGAACGAGTTTGGTGTTTATATTTACAGTAAATATTAATAACTGTTTAGTATGCACGGGACCAGAACACCTTCAGTAGATGAGCAGTCATGTAAATATTTTAAATTAATGAATGAAAAAATACAAGAGCAAACTGCAGGGACACTGTACAATCATATGAATATTTATTCAGAATTAAATCCTACTCAGGATAAACTATGAAAAGAAGGAAATATGATGTATTCTTAGACACGGAGGATAAAATATAAATGCATTTATAAGCCTCTGTTAAGAAGAGGCTTCTTTATTCTTTTTCTTTCACCCTTTTTTATTTTCTAATTTTCTCTTACTTTCTTATCTTTCTCCTTTACTATTTATTTTATTTTCTAAAATTTGTACTATTTTTATCTTATTAAAATATCTTTAATAAAAATTGTATGTATAAAACAGAATTATCCTACTGAATCAATATGATCTTATTTTAAGGAAAGAAAATCAAAAGTGACAAGGGATCAGTAAAAGGTATTACAATACCTGTCAGAACAGAGACATATGATACTGCTGTTTACAAAAATTGCTTTAAGAATGAGTGCAGGTAGTCCTCAATTTACAACCACAATTAGGACCAGAACTACTGTTGCTGTAAGATTATATTGCTAACTTGGATTTTATGATTTTACTGTGGTTGTTGAATGAATCACTGCAGCTGTTATGTGAATCTGGCTGCCCCCATAGATTTTGCTTGTTTGAAGCCCCCTGGAAAGGTTCCAAATGGTGATTATGTGACCTTAGGACATTGCTACCAACATAAATGTTGTTAGCACCTGTATTTTAGACCCATGTCCCTCCTGGCTTGTGAAAGGTTCCCAGGAGGTGACAGGCGGGTGGACTCTGATGGTGATTAATGCTTCTCTACAGGAGGAGATGGTATCCCAGCACTTTAAAGAGGCTGTGGTCCACCCTCTTCTTAAGAAGCCATCGCTGGACTCCACCCGGTTGGATAATTTCCAACCTGTCTCCAATCTTCCCTTTTTGGGGAAGGTTGTTGAGAAGGTGGTCGTGCAGCAGCTCCAGAGGTTTCTGGATGAAACAGATTATCTCAACCCCTACCAGTCAGGATTCAGGCCTGGATTTGGGACAGAAACAGCATTGGTTGCACTTTTGGATGATCTCTGGCGGGAGCGGGATGGGGTGTGCATCCATCCTTGCTCTATTTGACCTCTTGGCGGCTTTTGATACCATTGACCATGGGATTCTCCTGGGACAGCTTCAGGGGATGGGAGTGGGAGGCCTTGTGCTGTCTTTGTTCACTTCCTTCCTCTGCGGCCGCTCTCAGTCAGTGTTGATAGGAGGGGAGATATCCAACCCTCGCCCACTGCTTTACGGGGTTTCGCAGGGCTCGGTACTCTCTCCACTCCTGTTCAACATTTATATGAAACCGCTGGGTGAGATCATCTGTCACCATGGACTGAGGTATGACTAATATACTGATGATACCCAGCTGTATGTCCCGGCCGGTGGTAAGTTAAGTGTTGCTGTGTCCTCCCTCTCGCAATGCCTGGAAGCTGTCAGAGGCTGGATGGGGAGCAACAGGTTGAAACTAAACCCATGCAAGACCGAGTGGCTTTGGGTCTGGGGTTCGTTAGTTCAGGGAGAATTACCATCCTTTAATCTTGGATGGGGTGGCACTACCCCAAATAGACCCTGTGCATAATCTGGGGGTTCTCCTGGACTCACGACTCCTGTTTGAAGAGCAGGTAGTGGTCGTGGCCAGAAGGGCCTTTGCGCAACTGCAGGTTGTGCACTAGTTACGCCCTTTCCTGGATCAGCGGTCCGTACCCACAGTCACTCATGCCCTGGTCACTTCCCGTCTTGATTATTGCAACGCGCTCTACATGGGGCTGCCCTTGAAGAGCATCCGGAAGCTCCAGTTGGTGCAAAATGCAGCTGCCCACATGGTTTTATGCAGACCACGGTGTGTGCATGTATCACCTCTCCTGCAGGAGCTGCATTGGCTGCCAATTTGCTTCCGGGTGCAATTCAAGGTGCTGGTTGTCACCTTTAAAGCCCTTCATGGCTTGGGTCCGGGTTATCTGAGGAAACATCTCTTGCCAGTGACATCTACCCAACCCATTAGAGAGAGGTGGCAGGGAATGCTGCGAGTACCACCCGAGGGAGATACACTTGGTGGGACCTAGAAGAAGGGCCTTCTCTGTGGTGGTTCCATCTCTTTGGAACATCATTCACCCAGAGATTAGAATGGCCCCCTCATTAATACTTCAGTGCCTTCCAAAAGGCACTGAAGACCTGGTTTTGCCAGTGAGCCTGAGAGGGATGGAACCCATCAAATGGCTAGTGTGACCCGCTATTGTCAGGGTGGGAGGTGGGAGTTGGTTTTTGTTTTCCCAAATTTTGTTCTATTGTACTTTACTAATTTATTTGATCCTTTTTGTTAGTTCTTATTGTTTTTATTTTTTGTTTTAAATATGATTTTAAATATGAGTTGCCTTGGGCGAATAGGCAGCAATATAAAATAAATAAATCAATAAATAATATATGCTGGGTGTGAATTTTGAAAATCGATCAAATTGTCAAGGCCTCTGTGACAGTCCCCAAATGCGAGGACTGGTCATAACTCATTTTTTTCAGGGCTATTGTAACTTCAAATGATTGTTAAAAGAAATGTTCAGGAGTAGCTGTAACGAAGTTGTTGTTTGGATTCTAACCAAAACAAAAAAAAGTATTATTTTTATTAAGAATTTTTTTAAAAGTTAAGTAAACTATTTTTAAAATTTGATTGCAGCTCTTAAGACTTACTTCAGCCCATTTAAGAATACAGGCCATGCAGAAGATGTGTTTGCAATTTTCAGGAAAGCCAACTTCCTGCTCTACCAAACAATTTAGGCAGATTGGGCAGCGATAATCTTCATCCGATAAAAAGTCAGAAGAGTAAGAGCAATCTTCATTCTCCTCGCCTGTTATGAAATGCATATAAGTAGATTGAAATTACTGATGTACAGTTATAAAATACAAAATACGGAAAATAAAGAAAAAATTAAGCTAAATTATGTTACTTTTAAACAGCTAATCTGAAATTTATTGTATAGTGCACACACACGCATGCACACACATACACAAACAAAAACAAGTCAGAACTTGATTTTTTTTAGATAACAGTAGACCCTTACATGGAGGAGAAATTCCAGAAAATGTAAGGAAGAACCAATTATTTTAGTTAATATGTACTGTGTTTCTAAAATTAGGCACCAAATTTAGACATCCAAGAAAGTTTTACTGAATCATTTCCTAGTGGCACATAGCCCTTTTCAATTGTTAATCTGTGATAATAGCAACAATTGTAATATTTTGGCAAGCAGGAAACTTCTCAACTAGAATCTGACTGAGAAAGTACCTATCAACTTTGTCAAGTATAAAATGGTACTTGTAGGAAGTAAATCCAGAGGTTTCAGAAAGATGTTAATATCTATAAAATAATGTATATATTTGACCTAGAAATATAATCCAAACCAATATAATTGAGTATTTTAGTCTCATTTCTTTTAGAAAATCAAATAAGTTAGCTACCTTTTGCAGCTTCATGTTTGTCATCATCTGCATTTTGAACAGATTGTTTTTTATTCTTCATTTCTGCTTGAGAAATGCAGAAACTACCTGTAAAAAATAGGGTTACCAAAGGTTAAATACTTCCCAATAAGAGGTTTAAATAGACCAAAATCATATATTAAATTATAATTAATTATAAAACCAACTTCAAATCATATTTGACATCATATGTCAGGGGTGTCAAACACAAATTCATTGAGGGCCACATCAGAGTTGTGTTTGACCGCTGGGGAGGAGGGAGGGGGGGCATAGTTGGGGTGGATGTGGCCAGCTCGACATCACTTGTTTCAGGGGCATCTGTAGTGGCCAAGTGCTAAGGCAGGGCTTCCCCCAAATCCTCCCTCCCTGTCATTATAATCTCCTTTCCTTCCTTCCTTCCTTCCTTCCTTCCTTCCTTCCTTCCTTCCTTC